TTTCCCTTTAGATTGCCGGAAAGACGCGTCCACAGCAGTGAGTGCGCAGGGGTTCCAGTAACTCAGAGTCACAAAAAAATGCAGGGTCTGACAATTCCTGACTCAGGGTGCTGGCAGAAAAGAGATAGTCTTCTTTTGTCTCTGTATAACTTGATACTGTGAAGGCAGAGAACCAAACCAAAAATTTAAATCTTTTTGCAAATCAGTAATAAGAATGAAGACTACAACAACATTCTGACACCCCTTGAGACGTTTCGGACTGACATTTTGAGTGTATGGTACCAAAAGTTTGCTTCCAAGAAGAACCCTCTTCCTTCCGAATGGGCCTTATTTCAGGATGACTGAGGATTCTTAACTTCTATCTGACAGGCTTCTTAAAGAAGGATATCATATGATACAATATCGAAATCCAGGGACAGTGCTTGAAAATGACACTTGCTACCAAGACATACTACCCATCTGTTTCATTCTCCTGTTGTGTTGGAGACGAATTGCAAGTAGTTTTTAACCAATCTTGCTCCATATGTGGGATTTTCTCTCACCAGTTCCCACAGCAGTTAATCAGCTTGTTAGCAACAGAAGACACAGTGACAAGCGTCAAGTTCCTCGTGGCCTGTCGATAATTTGAAAAACACACTGCATCAAAGCACAGCAAAGATACACACACAGCTTGGAAACTATCTTATGAATTCCTATTTTGGGGGCTTTTTGGTACGAGGATAATGACTTTTCAAAGACCATAAGTGAATTTATTTGTAGCAGGTTGATCAATGATTTGCAAGCACCCCTAAATACTTTTGTCGAAAACTTTATGATTATCTGGAGTAGTCACTGCATTGCTGCCGCTGCTCACGCCAATGATTAATGAGTGTCAGAGAATAAATAAATAAATAAATTTATTCTCATAGTACAGTACATGAGGGACGCCAGTTTACAGGCATCATCAAATTGTTACAGAAATAGAACCATATAATTCAATCACAATTTACAGGCAGTAGCAAGATATGCTTTACATGTTCGCTGGAGATTATACATACACTTGATAAATGTTAATCCCAGTAGTATAAAACAGGCTTTTCACTTATATACAATCATTTCTGTGCAAAGTTGGAAAAATCTGCTAGATTGTCAGTGAGTGCAACACAACAGGAAATACAGGAGTATTGTCTTCGCATTAACAAAAAAACCAGGTCTTTGGTGGATGGATTATAAGTGCCTGGGAAAAAAATAAAGCTTGAAGTAAATATTGATACATAACTTTGTTGTGTGCAGAGTCCTCGAATTATAGTTCATTGATGTGTTATTTTGAAATCAGTGATGTGTTTATCTCATTTGATCTTCAATGTCATTGTTGGGAGTAAGTACATAAGGCATGATAACAGTAGTTTTCTTTCGTAACGGAAACAGCCAAAAACACGTATACAGCTTCATAAATTGCTGCTAATTTTAATGGCACCCATGCCACATCAAACTATGACGAGAAAGGTCACACAGTTTTCAGCCAAAAAGGAAAAGTTCCATCAATGTACTCTTTAATTAAAAGAGTGCGGTAAACTTCTCTTTGGTACAAAATGAATCACAATATATTATATCTATTTACTATGATTACCAACCAAACTGAGCTGCTTATCAGTATGGAGTCTTGCCTCGAATTTCGCATGGATACATGTTACTTCAGGAGGACAAAATTAAAAGCACCAGTGAGAGCTACATAATTTGACAAGACAAATGACTCGTAAGATAGAAAACTGATGCCAAAACTACTAAAAAGTTTGAACGTGTGCGAATTCTGTCAATTTTGGGATTTTTGCAATCATGGCATTGTGATGTAAGCCTGCAGCGTCTTGGATAAACATTTAAAACTAGCCTGAATATGGCATCGAGGTCCGAATTCAACTCTAAGACAAGAGGTACTGAGAACTCAGCGGTTCTAAGAGGGTTCTCAAAAATTTCTATTCAATGTAGACTAAACGGCTCAGCTCGTTTATACGCGAATAAAAAGGACAAAACAAAACATGCATGTTTGTGGAGAGGAATTCAATCCACACTAAATAATATACATATAAAACGCAGTTACTTAGTGAGTTATAATTGTCCCAAAATACACAAGTATAGATGTACAGATTTGTATTGATGACGTAGTCCTTTTCTGGTCTGCAGTTACTAACCCCATTTAAGAGTATACCAACAGCCTGGAGGTAATTGCGGAGGGAGAAGAAGATTGAAGCAAAAGATCCGAATGTGAATGTGTAAATCAGGTTCGATCCAAAGATGATTAGCAATATTGGAAAGCAAGATGCTGGAGAGGGTACTTGTGTCTTCCGTACTAGGCGCTGAAATAGTTCGTGTCCTTATTCAATCTCATTTAACAGCCATGATGTGGATTCATTATTATTTTTACTATTTTACAGTGAGCGTATAATTTGATGTTTCTCGAGTTCCAGAAATTTAATCAGTAGGAAAGGAAAACGAGAGTATCATTGTCACCGATCCAAAGTTCAAAATTTAACCTGTCAAAAAAGAAAGAGGAACGAAGAATAATCTCATCCAAAAACTAGCGAAAGCCGCCGAGTTACAGTGAGTAAAACCAAAATAGTTGGTGATGCTTAGTTGAAGTTAACTGAACAATAATTATTACGAATATTATCATTTAATGTATCCACATACACACTATAATAGAATATTACCACGTGTTTTAGAAGACCTCACTTTGGAGATACAATCATCCTACAGGAATTTACAGTCACTTATTTTCACATGTGCAATAATATCATGGAGTGATTTTGTGTTGTCGCATAGATTACTCAACACATTTTCTTGTGAGGCATAAGTGAATCTTGATGGTTAATTAAAACGTGTGGTTACGTTCTGATGAAAATCCAGTAGAAGTATATCTTCATTCTCCCAGGTACAGAATTGAATTAGCTAAAATCTTGAGTGTATTGCAGGCTTATTTCTGTATTCTCCCCCGTATCGCCCTACAACTTATTAGTTTTGCTTACCTATTCTCTCGAAACCACTTCCACTTACTTACCACAGCTTCTTCTGAGGCGTTCACTTACCTAAGGGCTGTTCGATGAAACCTCATTTCCCTTCCAACAGTGCCACTACCACTATACGAACCATACATCCCCCTCAATATAAATTAACTCACCTCTCACTACGTCCAGTTTCGTTGGAGCAGTCGAGGTGAACTGATACGTATTTCGGTACTTTCGGTAGCCAAAGGGGGAAAATCAAGGTTGATGGTGTTGACTTTCATGAGAAGTACGATGTATACTAACTCAAGATTTCATACTCACAACTTTAATAGTATTCGTTCCACGTGGACCAAAGGCAAAGCAAAATACCAAAATTGATCTTCCAAAGTACGAGGTATATCTCAGGATCAAATCGTAGTGCGTGGTTGACTGCTCAACTAGCTAGGGATCGCTCACGAACGAACGAACGAACGAAACATGACGGCGTGCCAAATGGCGTGGATGCTTGACTGTGAGCTTTCAGCCAAATAAGTCGAATTAAAAAGCGAGAGTCAGCATACGGTGTTCAGTGATTAATGCTGTGGCTAATCATTTTGGGGAATTACCTACCGCTACAGAATCGTTTGCACAAGCTAGTCAATTGGATATTGGTTATTAATTGTCAACAACACGTTTGACCTAAAGGCACATTTATCAAATGTTAACTTTACCTCAAGGTCGGCGTTTGACTAAGTTTTCTCCGGGGTTTGTGTCTGGAGTTTTTTAAAACGTCGTCACTAATCTGGTTTTCTTAAAAACACGTGAATTCCTGTGTGTTGTCCTCGGACCCACTAATACGATATCTTATACTTTTACTGTCACATTTTGTCTGTTGCGTAAGCAAAATACTGTGAAAGATAACTACTTTGCAGTTGTTTGTAACAAACTCGTTATTTTAGCTTCGAAATTAAGCTGCAACAAGTACCTCGACGAATAAATTGTAATACCGATCAAACATATGTGGTTTAACCCATTCAAATGATGCCCAAAAAAAAACATTTAAGAGCGATTTTTGGGGTTAATAGGGGAGAATTGTGTTGCATTTCTGCGTTAAGTTGACCTAACATTTCTCCCAACTATTTTTTTGAGATGCCTTCTAGTCTGAATTGATCTCTAAGGATGTCCAGGGAAATCGAGTGTAATAAATAATTGATTAATTGGAGTTCCTAATATTTGCATATGCTGGGGAATCTTGACAGGATAAGTGTTCACTCGGGAGGGTTCGGATCTCGGAGTAGATAAGTGCATAGAATTAGAAATATAAACGGATCTCAGAACACCATGACTTATAATCATTTCAACTTTTATTGCTCCTAAGTTTTGAGATCACTCAGGGCGGCCACTGTAGTCTAACCTTGACATTTTACTAGGATGAGAAAGAATAACTTATGTGTAAGGCAAGCGTTATTTTCAGTCAAAGTTGATTTTAATTTACATGTGCCTCTTAATTTACTGAATATGGACTATAGACATGGATCAATTTTATGTTTAGTGATGATAATGGGTTCATCCAAAGTGCGAAAACAAAACGAATTGATCAATGGTCTTTCCCGCTCTTGTCATTACTTTCAGCGTTAAATGTCTTGTATGTGACAAATCACATTTGTACCTGAAGCTAGGAGTTCAGGAATCTAACTGACTACCCCTTATTCATTGAATCGTTTCATTGAGAGCTCTCTTAAAATACAGAAGTTGTATGCCGCTCCCAGGTCGACGAATCCTATTCTTGCTAGTCATTTTCTCGTTAGCCTTAAGTTTATCTCTTTATTTTCCTTGGATATAGACCTGTTGAGATACTCCTTACCATCAAAAAGCAGTCGTTAAACTTCAGGAGTCTTAGTAATGCAGTATATCGTATGCCTATAATAATACTCGTAAACTGCGTAGCTTCCTTAAGTAACTATTTCCAATTAACTACATTCCTTTTTAGGTTTTGTGCTATTGTTATCCATCCATTGACTTGTCATTCCAAGAATCTCAATGCCTGGTTTTTTCAGTCTCACATTTTTGGTATTGTTTGGTTTGGTGTATTGTGAGAATTTCGATGAAGAACTTCTCATCAAAGATCTTGGCCGTGGATTTACGGCTTTCCACTTTAATTTCGCCTCAACAGCCTCAGAGACAATATTTTTCTGTGAGTTGTGTTTACGTACTTAATAATTTCAATGTAGCAAAACACTACAATATTTTGCCAAAATCAGTCATTCAAATCCTAAGGAAATACAGTGTTAACGAATTTCATCTTTCTATATCAAGGGGTATATGGGATGAACGTTGGGGTAGCAATTTTGTGTCAGTTTCTCCTGCTGGAGCTGAATTATGGGCATGGTTCGGAAATCAAACTTCTAGGTAATTTCTTTATTTAACTAATAATTTAGTGTCGACCAATCGTGGTTTGAATTAACACATGCTCTCTCTGGACTATTCTGTGCTTCTTTGAACCAACTGTCCACTAACGAGCATTTTGCCTCTCCTGTCTACTCTTATAAACCATTGGGAGTATCGGAATCCGGTAAAGTTGACGGAGAAGTCAGATATTCTCAGCTTCCTGGTGAAACTTTGTGCAGTGAAAACTTGACTCCCTGGACTAAATATTTACCATGCAAATCATTTTCTGGTTTAGGAAGCTTATTGCGACCGACTTCATTGTTTAAATCAAATTATAACTCAATGACAGTGGGAGTTAGAAGGATTTGTCTGGTAAGCTCCATGTGCAATACAATCACTAGTTAGGATCTCAAATGTGATACTGTGGGATTGGAACTAGTGGCAACACTAACTGCAGTTTTCGATAGAAGTTTGATATTTGCAAAAAGAGCAAGTAAGTCACATTTTATACTGACTTATACTAAATTCCTTTTAACTAAAGGCTAGTTCTACTTCAAGTGACCTGTCGTTATTTACTGTGACAGTTTATTACTGCACTTCTCTTGATGTAAATGGTTTTTTCTATATACGTGCTCTAGGAGATCTCACGTGCCCTAAAATAACTTGCTGTTGTCTGATTAATGAATTGCTAGTAAAACAGATTCTGCCGTTCAGACGATGCAATCATATATTCCAAATGTTTGAAGAACATTTTGTATAAATTATATGAAAATTATAAGTACTGAAGTTCTGAATTATAATGCATTTTTTTCTATGTACTTGTCAGGTAATCATGTCACAGTAGTCTTCTGCAGCTAAAACTGGTAATTTTTACGCTAAACTTCGGCTTTTTCCTGAAAAATCCTTTTTATGTGCCCTTTTCCTTCGTGTGATTCCTGTGTAGAATTTGCCAGTGTTTTTATAAACAAGCTATCCAGGTTTAAATCTCAGCTTACATCATTTAGACCTGATTAGTAAACACTCTACAATAGTATGTGGTATATTTTGAAGTTTCTTCATTCAGTTTCATCTCTTCATTTTGAAAAATTTAAATCCCCGTTTCTTGCTCAGATTTCTTGGAATTTAGTGATCAGATGAAGTCCTTAAGTGCAATGTACTAATAAATTGTCTTTACCTTCTATCACTCCAAATTTTGTTACTATATAAGCATAAACAGGAAGAATAACTTAGTGATTTTTACACCTAAACTTATTAGGTTAGTATATCCGTCGTCTTTAAGTGGTTATTTGCTCAAGAAACAGTGAAAAATAAAAAAAATAGAATTCCCCTCATTTGCTACTTTAATGGTAACGTGTAAATCTCCCCTATTTTAAATCATGGGGAATAAATTGAGCTTTTGTTTGTGCTTAATGTGATGCAGATATCAAAGTTCATGCACCGTCTACTCATACTGTCTTTCTGTGGATTGACGACTAGAGATCCATCTTTTCTTTTCAATAAAGCGTCTAAGAAATAAATTCTGAGATTATCTATAAACTCAGACGAATTATACCAACCATCGAATCTCTCTACTGACCTGACCTCAAACATCTTCGTCACATGTGATGATGTCAAGTATATATGTTTTGTACAGACAGAAACTACCAATCTTTATCCGTAATACAATTTCTTTTAGGTTTGCCATGAAGCAATCTCCAAGTAACGACCAAATTGTGACTCCACTACCATTTCATTTTTAAACACGCAACACGTGAATACGTTCTGGATGAATGGGAAAAGGGTGTCCCTGTGGTTGTTCTTTCTGTAGTCGACTCAGATACCGCTACCAAAACTGTTATCTCTGGAAAAAATTTACATAGGAAACAAAGTTCTTATGAAAGAAACATTAATAAAGAGTAACATTTAAAAATATCATCCACTTGTCTTATTTATCAACATTATTCATTGAAGTGACGAAATCAAATGAATGTGATACACTCCGGGTTTTTAATTGGTTTCTAATCGGTGGAAAAATCTCGGCAAACCAATTGATAAATGTAAAGACAGGTGAATAATCAAAAACCTAAATAGGAGGAATAATAGTTAGTATTTAAACATTAACTTAGTGAATGTGAAAATAAGAGTCACGACAATTCCAAAACTAATAGTTGGACATGTCAGTTTTGTACATGAGAGATACAAGATAAATCTGATATGTTTCAAACTCCCATTTCGTCTCAACTTATTGTATTGTTGCAATAAATAAAACTGTTCACTATCTAAACGTATTTCTGACTATTGTTTTGCTCAAAGATAGAGACGAATGTCAACCAACCATCACTTAGACAATCAGTCCTTTTTTTGAGGTTTTCCCTTTTAAATTACCACCAAAGTGAAGAAAATGGATAGCCTTGGAGTGGTAGACTAACACTGAAATAGTGGATGATTGAATGTGAAATGGAAACCTGTGTCCCAAGGAAACTTGAACCGACAGTTTACAGATTACTAGCTCTACACTCTACCAGCCCAGCTTTTAGACCCACGCTTCATGTGAATGGACTTTCACTTCACCTTCAGTTAGCACTCATTACATCATTATTCATCTGCCAATGCATGGCCATCCTTGTCTCAAGTTTGACGATAATTTAAAAGGATAAGCCCCTACAAACAGTGACCAACTACCTACATTATGGTTGATTTATATTCCCTTTTCATTAGTCGTGAAGGTTGATATTCGTTGATAAGTCTAGAATGTCCACAATATGTTCTATCTCCAAAGAAATAAGTAGCTTCTTTACACATACAATTCAGCTTTTAACTAGAAATGGTAATGCAGAATTCAGCAATATTGAATGTCCTCAACTATCTGAAGAGTTTAAATTTCAGAGTCTTTTCTGCAATATCGCATCAAAAGTCATCATATTGATTTAAAAATCATTGTAGCTCATTTGTGCAAGTTGTTATGACAGCATAATAAAGGTGACCGTTAGTCGGAAATAAGAGTTGATGATTAAACCACAAAAGTTGAGTTGTAATAGTCCAAAGAAAATTTTTCCACAGAACTGGCTATCTTATCTTTATTCATGTATTAAAACAACGTGTTGATATCTCTGATCACTAAATAACATTTCCGAAATGGTATATCAGTTTAGATATTAAATACTGTTTACAAATGAACTGTAAATTTAACTTAATGTGAAGTTGTATCTCTTCTGCTTTTACTGACTCTCTGTGGTATTTACCATCAAACTTTGTGCCATCTATCTACGGCACAGTAATGAAATATCCATATTTATTAACTCAGCATGTGTATACATAATATTATGGGTGCCTACTAATCCATTAAACTAATTTTTGAACTAACAACATATCACAAAGAGTCGGAGTTTTGAATTTTCCGCGGTTTGATTTTCTTCACATTAACAATGATTCATTAATTTTCTTTCAGCGCCTTGGTCTATTAAAAGTATACTTGGCTCAGAGTTCAGAGGTTCCTGTAGTGCGTCCGACTCCAGCCGTGTATTTATTCTCAAGTCCTATGAAGATGTGGATGTTAATCTTGATAGTGCAATGAAGCTTCATTATCCCAGCAATTATGTATTAGCGGCATACTCAACGAAAGATTTATCTCCATCATTTATATCATCACCTTTCACTGTCAATGAACAAAAATCTACTTCATACCCTTTACCTCTTATCTCTGCTACTAAATACGTTACTGGTTCTGGAAATGTTAGAGGTGGGGTAAAAGCTGTAATTACTAATAGAGCTGATTTTGATACAAAAATAATTTACTTCGATTTAATACCATGGTACATGCAAGTTTTCTTCAGTTCATTGAAAATCTACAGCTTAAATCCTAAAACACAAGAGAGGGAGCTGATTAAACCTCGTAAGTTTTTTCTTTACTTATTCCTCTTAAAGTAATGTAATTCTAGTACTTTTATAGTGTGCTATTATAAGAAGTATACGATTTAGCACAGATGTGCAGCAGTTCGACTTGCCACAATCTATGTAGCCCACAAAGCAAGAGAAGAGAGATTATAAACAGAAATATCAGGCAAAAAGAATAGTAATTTGGGAGAACAATAGAATTTTATTGGATATTATAAATCACAAAGAGGGAATGCATCTTCGCCATTGAGAAGGATTTTGAGCTATATCACTGATTGTCACCAGCCATTGGTTTTTACCATCCCGAGGACCCAAACCACGAAGTCTACACCTTCCTACGTGGCTGGCTTAAACTAACTGTTGTGGATTTCATCGACTGATGAAGCCATATTTTCGTTTGGCCACCACTAGCTCTGTTCCAACCTCATCCTATTTCAGCCAGCATTGCCCATCGAGGAAGGCGATGGCTAGGCATGCATAATACATTTCCTAACCATCTCAACCGGTGTAACTTCCCAACCTCGTCGATTGACTTCCCCTTCTTACTTAGCACTCGACACCTAACCTCAATGTTGCTCACCCTATTATACCATCACCTAACACGGGAGATAGAACGCAAGCACCTATAATCAAAGACAGCTAGTCACCCTTTTCATTTCTTCCACATTCGGTGGCCAGGTCTCGCTCACAGCCATAAAGGAGGACAGAGCAAACTTCTGAGCAGTATACACGTCCTTTGGTTGACAGTCAGATATCACGTCTGCGCCAGATTTGGCGTATGTCAAACGAGCTTTCTGTATCTGTGCTGAGATTTCGTCAGCGATCGGCCTGTTGGGTCTGATGCAACTTCACTAATAAGTGAAGTTGTCAACGTGTTCTACCACTTCACTCCCTATCTCTAAGCTAGGAGTCAATGTGGTCCAGTCCTGTTGCATCATCTTACATTTGACGGGAGCGAATCACATGCCAAACATTCGCAGATTGCAGCTCAAGGTGTTCAGAAGACTCTGCATTTTGTTGACGTCTTCACCTAGATGTGTGTCGGTAGCACAGAGGTTAAAACGCCCGCCTACCATGCACATGGTTTGGGGTTCGATCCCTGGCCGACGCACACCTGATATCAATGATCTGCCTGCTAAATTTGGGCTATTGATATCACATTCTGAAAATCCCATATTTGTACCAAAATAATGTGTGGAATCATGCTATAATAAAATTTTTAAAAATAAACAGGAGGACTATATCATATGAATATTCTAAATCAACGAGATTATCCTCTGATTAGCTTTCATCAGGTCTTAACAACAGATTTTACCTTTTTTCATTTATAAATAGCATTGCTCTAGGTACTTATAGTCACTATATAAATAATTCCTAAATTCAACATAATCTAATAACTCTACTTTTTACTAAATGATTGTCTTTACATTTAATTCCTAATGAAAACAATGTTCTAGAAGGTAAACATCGTTTCAAACTAAATTGGAGTTTATACCTGAAAATTATATGTATATATATATATATATATATATATATATATAAAGAACTAATCTTGCCTTTAAAAACTTTGGAATTACTTATTTCCATTTCGCTGAGATTTTACAAATATGTTCAGTTATTTTGGAACTATTCAGTCAAATCTTGATTATAATTCATATGAATAAATTGGGGTTTATTATTATAGCACTGACTGAATAAAACCAAATAGGTATATTTTGCTTTATCGTGAATACAGTTTTTTTTAATTTCAAGTAAACATCTTTTCTCAATGTATTTATTACCCACGGCTAAGTTAATGTATTATTTGATCTTTTCACAATTTGAAATTAAAGATAAGTGCATAAAAATAAAGTTTTTATTAGGATAGCAACGCATCTAACACCAACTCTAGCTTATATCTATACTTACACTTGCAATTCCATGCAATTAGCCACACCAATTGTGTAAGGACTAGCGATATCACATGGCGGGCCAAAGCTTAGCAAGTGGAACTGGGTTTGAACCGGTGATCCACGTATTGTAATTCGAGTACTTAGACCTACAAGCCACAACTCAACACTAACATATATATGTTTCTGAAGCACACTGCTTGGAGACAAAGGTAATATCTGAGTTTCAAGACAAAAGGGTTTAAAGCAAGTTTTAATCTGTCACAATGGTTCGAATATCTTTCAAAAACTGTTAATCTGATCAAGTTTATGGTTTTTCGGTTCTTCCATACAAAACGACTTTCGATACTGATACTTAAGTGCAGACATTCCCATTTTTCGGTATACCAGTTTGAATTAATCAGTGCCTGTTAACTGATTACTTCTTCGTATGAATACCTTAACAATTTTGATTGACACAGTTTAATGCGATAATTCGTGAAGTGTTAATCAAGTTACATGTTTTGTTTTACTTAAGACTTCTCAATTGGATGTGTTTGCATCTCATTGAGTTTCGGATGAAAACATCAGACTACTGTTCTCGTAATCGTAATTCCAAACCTTTTTAGAGTAGACTAGTAGTATTCGTACTAAAATACGCCTTTGTCTTTCTATTAATAATGTGATTCTAACATGTAAATCTTTAATTTACTCACCAATTTGTGTCAAACGGCTGTCATTGTTTCTTCAACAGATAATTTGGTGATAAAACCAGGCTTGGCCAGAAAGCGTATGGCTAGTATCGAATTAATCATCACCTTACCTCGTCATAGTCAAGTAACCATTTCTTATGAGTTCCGTAAAATTCTTCAACGCTGGAATGAATTCCCACCTGATGCTAATCATGGATTTTTCCTTCCTGCAGCAACTGTTTCCTACATGTTAAATAATGAACAGTTACACCACTTAAACGAGACGAGGCATGTTGCATTCCATAATCTAAAACTTCCGAATTGGGCCAGTACTTACAGTCAGTTTTTGTAAGTCTAGTCTTTTAACTCATACATGTGGTGGTTTTTCTTCCCAGTCTAAAGCGTCGCTGTGTTTCTTCAGAGATATCTGCTTGTGATGAATCTTCACATCATTTCTTCTTCGAACCCCACACATGCTGGTTGTAAAATCAAGTGGTCAAAGTAGTAGTGGGATGTAAAGCCGTAAGCTGCAAGGCAGCTGATGAATTTGTCAACTGTCACTTCTGATGTTAGAAAAATGTTGCACATCGCGAATCATCGTATTTTTGAAGTAGATAGTTAACTGAAGCACCATTGGATCAGAAAAACGAAAAACGTGTTGCTACACTGACTGATTCAGATGATTTAATTACGATCTGATTTACTTTGTAGACAGTGAAAACTGCATTATTAGACAATCTAAGTTAGAGAACTCAACAACTACAAAAGCACCTTTTTGCAAGGTACAAATTTTTTCCATCATTACAAATTCAAGGATACACATTAAGATATATATTTGATTCATAGATTTTTGAACTAATTGTTTAACCCATATTAGCAAGCGTTGGTTGGATTAAGGAAAATAAGAAAAACGTGCTACTTGAAGAATTTGTTTGTGTCGACATAAATTCACTCATGTGTTTATCACGGCTCATTTATCGCTGCTTTGCAATTTGTATAATTGAGGTCAATATAATAACCGTATCACCTAGGATATCCAATTATAGCTTCTGTCAGGGGAAGAGAACAATCAAAATGTACTCGTGAGGATCGCAAAACATTTTCTGACCAAAAAGGAGTATATACTTGGCCAAAATTTTTGGTTCATGATATAGAACAATGCAAGCTACTTTTAATCGTGCTCTCTGTAATTAATTTAATTTTAGACTGTTTTCGCGAGTAGGAGCTTCTTATATTGCAAAATCTATTCAACTAGTTATTATTTTTCGAATGATTTTTCTCCTTTTCTTCTCATTAGTAATGTAGTATCAGTTGGCTCTAGGCCCGGTGATGGCTTTGTTCGTCTACACACACCCGTATCTTTGGTTACAATGCCGACACCAGATTTCAGTATGCCATTCAATGTTTTGTGTCTGGTGTGTTCAATTATCGCTGTTGTATTTGGGTCAGTGCACAAAGCCACAACAACTGTATTGAACGTTACACTTAAGAAACCTAAAAATGAATCATTATGGGTCCGTATTTTACAAAAAGCATATATTCTGAGGAAAAAGGACGAGCGGAAAACACCAGTAGTTGATTCAGGCATTCATGATAAAGCTGAATGACTTTTGTAAATGAACCGTTCATATCACTGTTTTTTATTCCCATGTTTTATAATACAAATATGAAAATAATTAACTCTTCCCTTTTTTATAACCCGATTTTTTGGCAGCTGTCAATCAGCACCTCACTAGTTAAGTTATGCGGATTATTATTGTACGGTTGTAGATCCGCATACTTTTTGATGTATTTAATAACCTGTGTGCCTCACAGTATACTACTATAACTAACGCTTCATTTGTTCAGGTTGATACTGACAAGCAGATTTTCCAGTTTGAAGATATTAGTGTTCACTTACATACACAAGGTATGCGTATTCTAACCGTAATACTTTGTAGTGAGTGTCTCTTCGAAATACGGTCACTATACATGGAAGTGTGCAGAAGCCTTATCTACTTACTTGGTAAAACATCCCGAAGAAGTTCGTGGACTTCGTGTTCTTGAAGTTAGGCATCCTTTCCAGGTAATATATACCTCTTTAGTTAGGTGCTGGCACTGGTCTGTGTGGGATTGTTGCCGCTCTTCTTGGAGCTCGCCATGTTCAATTCACAGATAACGATATGACATGCGCAAATAAGTTACATTTTAATGCACAGCTCAATGGAATCAGCAATTATAATTTCACCATACTGGATTGGAATTATCCACTTAGCTACACAGGGGACGAATTTGATGTCATTCTTGCATCTGATTGTTTATACGACAAGAAAGGTTAGTTTTTCTTACATCTATTTTAGTTTTAGTGTATGAACCTTTCATAAGGACAGCGGCTTTACAGCTAAGGATAGGAAACTGTAAATCTTTACTTCTCTCTTGCGAAAATCGCAGGTAATCATGTGTTTGAAAAAAGCTAACTTATTAAAGTTCTTTTACAGACATCGCCGTTTTGCTTAAAAAATATGGTCTCCAGCCCAATGTGTTAACTGTACCTGATGATGTTTTCAAGAACATCCACATTTTCCGTATCCAACCTAATTTCCTTTAGTATATGTTTTGCACTAAGAATATTTATAAATTCATGGCTGCTGATTGAAGAAACCAACTCTCACAGAAACTGAGTTGGATATCGTAACGCGGAATGCCTGTCATAAATTACACTTTTTAATCCTAGTTATACTCTTTACCAGAAATGTTTCGATGGCAAACCGAATAACGAATCATCCAAGTACAGCACTGCATTTTGACTTTGTGATACTCCCAATATTCTGTTGACTGCTCAAGAAATGGGTTTTTTAAACTTTCTAACTTTTTATTGAGTGTGTCTCTAAGAAAATCTGAAAACGTATTTAAATGATAAATTAATACAAATAACTTAACAAACTGTGATATTTTATACGCATTGACTTATTTATGATTTAACTATAACTCAAACAGTAACAGTCCCAAACTTTATAAAACGTTAGGTAATTCGTCAATACATTAATTGCACTGAGTTCCTTTGTTGTCATGATTGATAGCTGCTGTTTCAATGTAATGGCCGAGTAGATCATCTATGCACATTCAACCAAGAGGTTCGTAAGAAACTTTGAAAATAGTCACTGACGAAGTGAATTCTATGTAAACTTGTCTAGCCCCTTGCAAAAGATCATAAATATGAATGCGTTCATAGTGGAAAGTACGGTACGCCAAGTATATATCTGAAATCCAAACCCAGTCAGACATTTTCAACCATCCATTTTCAGTCTCAGACTAACTTGACTATTAATACAGTATTCGATCCTGATGTTATCACCCAGAATATTTAAAAATGACAATGATTGCTAAGATTAAGTGACTCGGCGAAGTTGGAGAGCTGGACGTGATTTTCTGTGACAGGTACCGATAAGCGGAAACTCGCTCATGACAACTGTAGGCAAGTCAGTTTTATCGAAAATAAGACTGCTTAGATCCTGAAATGATCGTTTTCAACACCAACTGAGGTATTCGTTTACCACTGCTGTGCGAAGCAAGAAATAGAGTAGTGTATACCGAAAATATATATCCAAGAATAGCAAGTTAACATCAAAAATGGTAATGGCCTTTGATTTTTTTAACTGATTAAGTGACAACCTTTGCTAGCCAAAAAATCACAGTTAATACAGGTGAGCAACAGTTTTATTATTGAAAATATACAGCATTGAAGTACAAAAGAGATAATATACTTACACCGATGTTTGATGCAGAAATGAAATCAAATAAAAAGTAGCGAAAAAGTTTGCATTTCGTTCAGTAGATCACTTGATCAAAGACATTCGTAATTGTTCCTTTGCATTTTGGATGGCCTGCAAAACATGAAGATGAATATTTCTAAATAAGAGTGCTGAAAACATTACTGTAAAACTTGTGTCATAAAATAAATACAGCAATTCACCGTAAGCCACTTTATAAGTAAGTACACTAAGTTTATTGTAGTTTGGTAATGCTTACCCAAATACGTAACGCATAACTAGTGCATGTGTATACAACAAGTAGCGACGGGTGTATCTAGTGATAGACGTTTTGTATACAGATTTTAAAAACAAATAGTACTAAAGTTATGAAGCCCTTGCACTTATTTTCGTCTCAAAAATCTCGGTATGAGCGTTTACCTTCATACTTAGATAAGACTATCTATACTAAAAATGCTACAAGAGACAATTCTATAACAGCTACCGAATGACTGAAATGCGTAAGTGCTTAGACATGAGTCTGCGGAAAAATTCCTTGATATGTGTTGATGACCATAAGACTAGCTTTTTGTAGTAATCCATGTGAATCCTGTGCATCACTTCACCATTTCACCTCACTAGTAGTATTATTCGCCCAACTCACAACTATTGCTGTGAAACTTGATGCAGCGAAACTCCATTCTTGGTGTCAATCTCATATTAAGGCGCTTATCTGATAATAGTCCTAGCCAAAACGCCAACATTTTGGACTGTGTATGCAGTACTTCAAATCGCGAAATAGGTTACTAACAGTATCAACGCGTGACAGCATAGTACTAGAATATTTATATCCTAACTACACAAAAGATAATAATGAACATAAAATTACCTGTGCAACGGTTTGTTCCCCAAGTGGGATATCATCTGTTCGCGCACCGACTCGAGAAACCAAGGCTGTCGCATCAGATTCTAACAGAATGCTTAAGAGGAATTATTAATTCATTGTTTAGTTACCCATTATGGCACAGTTCATCAACTATCAAGAAAATCAAATCTAAGTTGTCCATTAGTGTTTTCTTTTCAACCGATCGTTTCAGAGCTTGGCTGACAGAGTCGTATAAACACTGCAGAGCGCTAACAAGCAACAACTTGTAGAAATATGGATGTAACAAGTAAACTCACTTCATTTTCATTAGCGTCACCAATCACATAAAAGTAGAGGTCGCCAACGTTGCGATATACACATGTCGCACCATCCAGCAATGTGATTTCCGCTAAAATAATAACACAAAGTTTCGCTGACGTACCTTTACTTATGTTTGCTAAAAAATAAACACTAGGAAATATTGGGAAGTTCGACAACTATTCTTACAGGGGTCGGGGACATTAGAAACGGGATTTTTGGCTGAGGATAAAGACCTTATTTGCTCTTCAACAAGTATTCATCCCCATTTAATCTCTTCCCGGACGAGTCGACGGAGGATGCATGAACCACTTTTTGCTGCAGCCGGTCCCAAGAGTTAATGACTCGGTGTGAAAATTAGTATTTCATGGTGTACTTAGAAGTATACATAATTAGCCAACCCTTAGAAACTGTTCGCCTTTCCTAAGTTCAATACTCCCTTCGAATTTTCATTAACACCTGTAGTTTTCAACCGCATAACAGATAGAGGTTTATCAAGTTAATTAGGACTGAAAATGTTGTGTTAATATTTTTATTTCCGGCATTCCACCAACCAATCTAATAAGGTCCGTGTCATTTATCGAGCACATACCTCAACATTGCGCAGCTGAGTATAAGTTTCGTCACAAGTGATGAGAAATGAACATGTGAACCAACATTATTTATGTATATTTACTTGCTTAGATTTTGCAGTCGTGCGTAGTTTCAGGCTTGCTTACGACTCACAATGAACAATTATGCCTAACAAATGGCCAATGAGATAAACCATTGATAAAGCACAAAATAATTTGCTCATACATTAATATGCATATAAGTTCAGATCACACTACCATTTGAAATGTCACTTACCACCACTAGACTTGCTGGTTTTTTTAAAAAGTTTCGATTCAAATTCAAGTTGCTGCTTTACAGTTGGGAACGATGAGTCGTAGTACTACTCAAATATAGATAAAATCTTTTTTCATACCTTTGTCAGGATACGCTTGCCTTCATTGTCTAATATTATAATACTATTGATAGAATAAAGTGATGGTTCCTTTGAAAGAGTCAGAAAAGCAACTACGTACCAGCAACATCTTAAATACTCACAAGTCAGAATTTGGTCAGTGTCGGTTGGCAATATGTTAAGTAAACCGCTGTTACTGTGTGTAGGTCACTACGACCTTCCGAAATTCAATGTGTTTTCGACGAGTTTCTATAGACTCCAAGGTTTCTTGGTGCCTGCTTCTTGTTTGAAAAGGTCTTACATTTCTGTGGGATTCCAGCATAGTATATCCCTTCGACTGATGGATTCAACATGGAGGTGAATTAATTTATTTTGTGCGGATTGTATGCTTCGTACTGCACTAATACCACTTGTGAGACTTGCGAGTTTTCTTCGCTTGGGCAGTTGCTCAATAATGTCAATAAAATCCATGCTGATAGAGAGGAAATCAAGAGAATTGTTCGGCAAAATTAATGGTAGGCAGGGTAAGTAGAGTGAACATAGGACAAATAACACAAAGAGCTGAAATAAACCAAAGAATAAAACTGATGTCGCGAAAGATTTGTATTAAGTTAGAACATAATTTCGAAGTCCGTTTATATAAATGGAATATCAATAATACAGCACTCTAGCACTAAACTGCTTCCTTTATAGATGTCAGCAATCCTATCTTTTACTTTCTCTTGATGCTTTCGAATGGAAGATCGTGGAAAACACCCATATGGACATTAGAAAGAAAAGAATACGAAATTCAGCAAAGATATCTTTTCGGCCATTTCATTTTCAAAGGCTGTACAATCGCATTTAAATACATAAATTTACATGGATACAATTCTTGTTTGATTCAACATAATTACGACGGATCAAACATTCCCCGACTCTACGGCTTACCAAAGGTGCACAAACCTGGCTTGCCACTTCGACCGATTCTAGACACGTCAGGGTCACCATACCATCCAATCGCCAAATGGTTGTCCTAAATGTTGAAGCCGGTAAGACAACACCTATGCAAATACTCCCTTCGTGATACTTTTGAGTTCATTGAATGCATAAAAGATTTGAATGTAAATGATAAACGAATGTTATCACTAGATTCGAATCTCTCTTTGCCAACTTGCCACTAACAGAAACAGTTTGCTTACTGTGCAATTATATGGAGAAATCCAATGTAAACGTTGGAGTACTAATATCACATCTGAAGGAATTGTTGCTGAGATGCACGCTGAATGTACTATTCACCTTCAACAGCGACATCCACAGACGGAAAAACGGAATTGCAATGGGATCTCCTCTTGGGCCGCTTTCAGCAGACTGATTTATGGCCAGTTTGGGGAGTGGAGTTTTAAAATAAACAATAAACAAGTTACTACTGTACAAGAGGTACGTTGACGATGCCTTTATAGTCTGCTACGATAACTCGGGCCTCAACTGCATCTTACAAGAATTTAATAATTCCTATCCTTCGATTAAATTCACAATGGAATTAGAAAACAATTCAAAGATTCCATTTCTAAATAAATAAATAAATAAATTTATTCTCATAGTACAATACGTGAGGGACGCCAGTTTACAGGTATCATCAAATTGTTACAGAAATAGAACCATATAATTCAATCACAATTTACAGGCAGTAGCAAGATATGCTTTACATGTTCGCTGGAGATTATACATACACTTGATAAATGTTAATCCCAGTAGTATAAAACAGGCTTTTCACTTATATACAATCATTTCTGTGCAAAGTTGGAAAAATCTGCTAGATTGTCAGTGAGTGCAACACAACAGGAAATACAGGAGTATTGTCTTCGCATTAACAAAAAACCAGGTCTTTGGTGGACGGATTATAAGTGCCTGGGAAAAAAGTAAAGCTTGAAGTAAATATTCATACATAACTTTGTTGTGTGCAGAGTCCTCGAATTATAGTTCATTGATGTGTTATTTTGAAATCAGTGATGTGTTTATCTCATTTGATCTTCAATGTCATTGTTGGGAGTAAGTACATAAACTTCGGACGCATTAATTAATGGATTTCTACTGCTTGTGGGTATTTTCTTAGCGTTAGGAAGGTTTATGAGTTTCAGCTGTTCCGACAGGAGTTGAGAATATTAACTGCTCAGCAACATTATGGATATAAGTTCATCACATTATCTAAGGAAAGGTGGGTTGCAGTTGGTGAGGGATATATGGTGCCCAACGAGCGTTCATCTGTCCATGTGATGTTGTGGTGAGTTATACCTTTTTCATGTTACCGGTTTATGTCCATTTTATTCCATTTATGGTGTTGTGTAGTAGTTTTACAAACGAGATTTCTTGTCTGTTTGAGGATACGTATCTTAATCGTTAACGTTTTATCTAGAATTATAAATATAGCCAAAAAACAACAGGTGTAGTATTTAAGCTTATACATTAAATGGACCTATAATTTCGGAGGCTCTCAGATAGGAACTAGAACTACTATCGTTTGCAAACTCTTGTAGTTTGTCATTAAGCAACTTTTTGAAGGAGGCCAATGTACTTGCTTGACGCATTTCCATTGGCAGTTTGTTCCATATCTGTGCATACCTAATCAAGTAAAACTTTTGCCTGGTGGCTGTTTCACATTGTTCGATAGCTACTGTACCCTTAGTGTGTCTTAGTTTGTAGAAATTGTCATCTGAAAGTCGAGTGCCATTAGTAGATGTAAAAACTAAGTGATTTAGAGGCTTATAGTAAAGTGTCAAGTTTAGTCTCAGGCGTCTTAGCCATAGTGTTTCTAGTCCTAGGGTATCACATCTAGTGGAGTAGTTCGTACCATTTTCAGTTCCGAGTAATTTTAACGTGAATTACCTCTGCACTCCCTCGACTTTCAATTTGTCCTCTATGCGTATGCTACTACATATGAATCAACAGTAATCAAATAAAGGACGCACACAAACCTTGTACAACAGAATTCTAGACTCATTTCTGTAGAAGTTCCTGAGTAGAAAGCCGATAAGTCTGCGTGACTTTGACACTTGTTTGGAGATATGTTCAGAAAATGATAAGTTATGTGAATATTTCAGCCCTAAGTCCAGTACAGATTCCAGTCGTTGAAGTGCATGACCTTGAATTGTCAGGTCAAGTTCTAAATTGTTGCAATCTTTGCAGAGCCAGCCACATTTTTCGACATTAAACTGGAGTTGCCAGGTGTCACACCATCTATCCATTTTTTCTAATTCTTGCTGTATGGCGTTTACTGTTATTCCAAGATCTGTGTTCTTGTATTTATACGTCACTTTTAAGTCATCTGCATATAGTATTGGTTTACCTACACTAAAGCATTCACAGATACTGTTTATATATATTATGAATAAGAGTGGGCCTAATACACTTCCCTGGATTACACCACTACTTACTGGTTTAGGCCTTGAGATTATCGAGCCAACTTTCGTTGTCTGACTTCGGCCACAGAGAAATGATTTTATCCAGCTCAGGAGAGGATCACATATCCCTAGTGAGCATAACCTGCTGACTAGCAGATTATGGGGAACTCTGTCGAAGGCTTTTGTTATATCGAAATATAGTACAATTACTAGTTCTCTGTTGTCCCTACTTCGTGTAACTTCGTCGAAGAAGTCTATGTGACAGGTCACACATGATCTCTTTTTGAGGAATCCGTGTTGTGATGGATTGATAAGTTCATGTTCTAGTAAGTTGTCTGACATTTGGTCTTCAAACACTTTCTCCATTATTCGTGATATTACCGGTGTTATATTGATAGGTCTATAGTTGCATGCACTGGTTTTGGCCCCTGATTTGTGCTTAGGTAATATGTATGTGGTTTTCCGCACTTCAGGATAAGTTCCAGTTTCCAGTGAGAGAGTAAATATTCTAAGTAACAAGACTACCATTTCCGTGCTACCATTTTTGTATATGACAGATGGTATGTCGTCTGTTCCAGTACTACCACTAGACTTCAATGTCTTAATCGCAGAGTCTATATTTTGTATATTAAAGTGTATTTCGCCTGATTTGTGGTTACTTTTGCAGGTCATTTGGAAATTTCGGGTCGGGTGCACTCTGGTGTCATTGCAAAACCACTCATTGAGGAATTCACTTATAACCTGTGGATCATTGTATATTATACCCTTATGTTCCAAGCTGCTTGCATTATTATCTTTACTGCTTTTTAGACGTTTCTGCAATATCCTACAAAGTTCCTGAGTTTCGGAGTTACCCACAAGCGCTTTATTTTCTTCAAGTTGTGACATCATTTTGTGTTTATATTCAAGCCGTTTAAGAGTTTCATGTATTTGGTTTAACGCATTAAATCCCTTAAATACATGGTATTTCCTTTTCAATTTCTTTAGTTTTAGTCGCGTTTTGCGGTCTATAAATGGAGTTGGTGTCTTTAGAGCAGATTTTAGGGGCGCGATTATGTCTCTTGCCGAGCCAATTGTTTTGTAGAAAATATCAAGTGATACTTCTAAGTTATTGTTAATGAAGTATTCTTCCCAGCCAGAACTTCTCAGCAGATCTGATAGGAACTCCCAATCGGCATTCTTATAGTCCCTATACTGATAGTGCACCGGGGAATTTTTAGGTGTGTGTTTAGTTGTTAGTCGGAGGGGTAGCGTGCAGTACAATATGTTGTGATCACTGTTATCAAGTTTATTTCCTAGCTCTATCGAGATGGGCTCTATTTCATGACAAAGGATTAAGTCAAGAGTGTTTTC